GGGGCCTGCGAGGCTTCCTCTGGAGGGTCCCTATTGGGCCAAATCCTGCTTGGTGCCCGGAGCGGAGCTAAGGCTGGGAAAGGAGGCTGGAGGAAGGGAAGGAGGGCTAGACCCAAAGGCAGTAAGGAGGGAGGGAGAGGAACGTGGCAAGCGAGGGGGGGGGGAGCAGCGCCACAGCCCTATCATGAGCTTTCCCATCACCACTGGTCAAATCACACCAACCCTGCGAGGTTGGCCAGGTTGAGGGCGGAGGGGGCAAAGGGAGGCACCCCCAAGGGGAGACATGAGAAAGACCTTCCATGAGAAGGACCTTCTTCTGGGCCACTCCAACTGGAAGAGCCAGACACAAATCCTAGAAAGAGTGTAGCTACACTATGAAAATGATCTGGGAGCCTTGAAACAGAGTTAAAGTCACATGGCGGTCACGTTGTATTTGGGTCGGTGTTTACATCCAGCAAGATTTTGGATCCATCTTTAAGCTGTGTTGTTGGTCCACCTGGGGTTTTGCTGCAATTAAGGCTGTGTCCTGCACCCGCCTGCCAGCAAGGAAGAAGATTTGTTCCTCTTCTGTTTTTCTCTTGTTTTCCTCCATTTTTGTTTGATGTTGCAGTTAAGGCACACTCACACAATTACCTCTTTGAAAAGCAACATGAGCGCTTCTCTGGCTGGATCAGAGATGGAAGAAGTAACTTTTCTGACTACAAATCACAGCTCCCACAGCCATTTGAGAGGAAGGTCTAGTCAAACCAAACAGAAATCTAACTTCTATCTACAGGACTGATAACAGATGTTTTGGGCATAAAAAGCCCTTGGGAAGTAGGTTTACACCAGGGGGAACCCCTGGGCCAGGCGGACTTCCTACTGTTGGACTGCAGCTGCCATGAACCCTAACCAGCCCAGCCAAAGACTGAAGGATAATGGGACTTGAAATCCATGAACACCTACGGGGAAATGTGTTGCCCCTCACGACTCTGTGCAAACAAGTCTCCAGGATACTGGGTTCCTTCCTGCAAGGAGTTATTCGGGACTTGAACCCAGGGCCATCTGCAGCCAGTTCACTGCGAAGACTTCTCATCTCTGAGCTCCAGCCCCTCCCCAGAAATCAAGTCCCATTTTCTGAATCGGAGGCTCTCTCCTTCTTCCCATATTGGGAAGACCCTTCAATGGGATAAAGATCAGGATGGGAGAGTTCCTGGAAGGCCAAGCCTTGGGGCCTCTCCGCTGTCCTGCCAACTGTTGTGGGGAGCCTGGCCCTTTTTAAACCACTGGGTTGTAAGGGAGAAAGCTTTCTGGCCCCCTAAGCAGGAGAGTCCTTGGCCCACCCCTGGATCTTCACCCCATAAGCCACAAACTTTAAAACAAAAGTGGAATGGTCTTATAGGCCAGACGGGCAGGGTATAAATCAAATAAATAAATAAATAAAAACCACAATGGCGGTAGGAAACAGAGGGTGTCCGAGATGCTCTTTTTAACCTCCAGAAGCAACAGATTTCAAACACGCTTTGTTTTTGAACTTCTCCAGTATCCCTTCTTTCCAAACCAAGACCGTGAAAGACTGGGGCCCTTTAGAAGTTGTCCAAAATTTTATTTTTTTCCAAACAAAGCCAGATGTGGGAATTTTAGCTGATGAGTGCTGTTAGGAAAGAGAGAAGAACAGGTGATGTTAAAGTAACATGCATGGGTTAAAATGGAAAGAGGAGGAGAGGGGGTCTTAGCAGAATAGGGAGGGGTGGGGAACCAGGGCCAGGAAGTGGGTCCACCTGAGAGAGGCAACCCTCAGATGCTCAGGATGGCCATGTCCAGAATGGCATGCAGTTTAGCAGGGCGGGGGCTGCCTGAGGAGGAATAACCTCCCCCCCCAACCTTCATCCCTTCCCAAGACCCTCTCCTGTCCACCTGAAGGCAATCCTTCTCCTCCTCCAACAGGCAGATCCAAAAAGCACTCCAGGATCCAAAACAAGGAGCTTAAATTGATCTCCCAGTTTGACTCCATCCTGTTGGGACTTAACGGAGATCATGAATGGCTCTTTCGCCTATTCTTTTATATTCCACCAATGTCCGTAAAATGTTGTGACTTTTGGATCCTAAGGAGTTTGTGTATTGAGATGGGGGAATTTGTATACAAATATGAATACCCCCGCACAGGTGGACATAACGAGGGTCCATCCACACACACACCGGCCCGGATCATCCACTCACCACCCGTAGTTGCTGCGGGCTCCGTTCCTATCACTCCAGAGCTCGCTGCCTGCAAGCCACTCTTCGACCAGGCAGAGAGAGGCTCGTCCTCCCAGTGGCTTCCAGACTGCGAGCTCTGGAGCGATAGGAATGGAGCCTGTAGCGACTACGGAAGGTGAGTGGATGGTCCAGCCCAGGGGTGGTGGTGGTGGTGGACTCTCGTTATGTACCCCAGGGTGGGAGTATTCGTATTCTTATACAAATACAGATACCCCCAGAGAGGGTACGAAGGAGAGCCTCTCTCTCACCAGAATAACTCCCTGCCACTATAACCCTGCATTTTCCAAAGGCTCCTTCTTCCCTTTCCTCCTGCTGCTGCCCCCCCCCCCACTTTAGGAACCTGGTTTGGAGGAAAGTGGATTCGAACAAGGAAACTCAGGATAAGCATTGGGAATTCATAAGGGGATGGCTGGAGAGAGATCCCTTACCTGTGAGTGGTTGGGTGGACATTGCTAGAGAGAGAGAGAGAGAGTTAAACCACTGAGGGAGGGGGTGTTCGTTCAGAGGGTCAAACAGCATCCTCCCCCCTTCGGTCGTGTACTGCCTGTCCACTCAAAAAAGCCCTGAAAACAAGGCTTCAGGCAGGAAAAGGTTGCAGTCTGGAATGCCTGCCCCACAGACTGAAGTTGTGGCTGAAGTGGGATTCGCACTCGGGGCTTCCAGGCTCACAGCTCTGCCTCTCCCTCTGGCACCCTACTGGAAGGAAAAGGATCTCTTTCCTCAGACCAAGCCCCAGCCTGGTGGAAGCAACGTTTCCTGAGTTGATTCCCAGAGACAAAGGCTAGCTGGAAAATTCTTTCGAATGGGGAGAGGGGGGAGCAGAGCAGGCATCTCCACCCCCAATTCCCTTTTTCTGTTGGCCTGCACCCCTATATATCTGAGGTCACCCCCATCCCTACCTCCCTAAGAACCCCATTACCTTTCTTCTTCTTCGGGTGGAGGTAGAGACACCCCCCACCCCAGCCACAAAGAGGGCCCCTATGACTCCCGCCCATACTTTGCTCTGGGCAGAATCCGACCTCCTAGGCTCTGAGGAAGAGGAAGAGAGGCCTGGGGGAAAGAGTGTGGGGGGGGCAGGTTTTGACCCCCTCAGCTCCCACGTCCAGGGTGGGAAACTTGTAGCCCCTCACTCATGGCTAAATAGGGACGAAGGCAGGGGTTTATGGGCTTTCCAGCCTAAGAAACTGAGCTGGGGATGAGGGATGGTGTATCTGGATGCCCTGGAGAGCAATGAGGAGCCATCCTGGCTAGTTGCCTTTGACCTCTAGGAATGAATCCAACTCCCCTGTCAAAGCATAACCTTGCTAGCGTGTGAAATGAGTGCAATTGTACGGTAGTTGGAGCATTCTTTGGCACTGCCTTTCTTGGGGATTGGGATGTAGACTGATCTTTTCCAATCCTCTGGCCACTGCTGAGTTTTCCAAACTTGCTGGCATATTGAATGTAGCACCTTAACAGCATCATCTTTCAAGATTTTTAAATAGTTCAGCTGGAATGTCATCACCTTCACTGGCCGTGATGTTAGCCAGGCTTTCTAAGGCCCACATGACTTCGCTCTCCAGGATGTCTGGCTCAAGGTCAGCAACGACATTGTCTGGGTTGTCCGGGATATCGAAATCTTTCTGGTATAATTCCTCTGTTTATTCTTGCCACCTCTTCTTGATGTCTTCATCATTAAAAATTAATTTTACCTCCGCCTTTCACCTTAAAAGGGCCCAAGGCAAATCGAACTACAGCAAACCGGCCTCGAAAAGCCCTATCTTGCCAGAGGCCAGGTCAGCACCTGCATCAAGAGACCCATTTCTGGCTTTCTCTGTCCCTTCCTTTGAACAATACTTATAAAAGGCTTGCCAACTGCCTTGGAAGGGGGGGGGGGTCAGGATCCTGCCCGGGAGGACCTTTCCAATGCACTGAGGTCTTAGATTAGAAAACCAAAAACTGTCAGGGAAAGGAGCGCAGTCTCCTAAATGCTCAGCCTAGCTGAATCGACAGTCAGTGGGTGCTGCCTCAGTTGGGCTGGGGGGGGGCAATACCCAAAGAGGGGAAAGCCAGAATCAGATCAACCAACCGAGGCGGAGAGAGAACAAAAGGGAACTTTTGTGAGATCACTGAACAGGGGTGGGGGTGGGGATATTTGCACCAGCACAGCCCCCCCCCCTCCAAACTCATCTGTCTTCTCTGCTGGCCACAAAAATCTTTTTTCTTTCTGCTTTTGTTTCGTTCCGTCTTTTTTTCTCCCTAACGTTGGCGCATTCTTTGTTTCCGTTGACCTCGACAGGCAAGGGCTGGATGTTATGAGGCACTCTGTGCATGCTCAGTGGACACATTCTCACATTCTTTCACTGACGAACAAGGAGACGTCCAGGCGAGGGAGAACGAGAGAGGGAGCGGCGTTTCTGTTCTGGGGCCACCAATGGCCGGAAGGGAGATGCCCCCCCCACCTCAGAAGGAGAGAATTATGTCTCCCCTTTGAGCTTATCACCTCCGAGACCCTCCTGCGGCGCCTTGAGATCCGGATCCGTTA